CCCCCCACCCTAAAAAATGGAAATAAAACCCGGATGTAGTACAAAAGGTCCCAGTGACCAGTGACACTTCATTACATTGCATACATAAACGTAGCAGTCAGCGACCCAGGTCTTTGCTTGTCGCCTGTAAGGTAAGTATTACATGTAGAGGGCACTGCTTTTCGCATTTTGCAAGGCAAACCGGCTGGATCAAGATCTAGAAATTAATGTTAATAGAAAACGTATATTCAGCAGTTATAGTAGTAGTAGTAGTAGTAGTAGTAGTAGTAGTAGTAGTAGTAGTAGTAGTATCACTAATATTTTTAAATTAATTTTAAAACACTTTATTATTTATGATATTATTTTAATGGCATATTTGCGTGAGCTTTAAGTCTGTTAGAGAAGAGGGAAAGTTTTAGGGTAAGAGAAATGCATATCACAATTTGAGTCGTCCATATTATGCATACTGGAATTTCAACACTTTAATATAGTGTGTTAATATTTTGGGTGCAGTGACCAAACTATGCGGTACATTCCACCCATAATAACATATAAGGTATTACATTTCCGAATAATTCAGCACCTAAGGACGAACGTTTCTTTCAGACAAAAAAAAAATAAAATAAAAAAAAAAATAAATAAAAAAAATAAAAACAGTTGGGCAGCAGTTACGTGCCGTTACTAATTTTGTGTGTGTGCGTGGGAGGGTGGGGGTGGGGGGACTTTTTAATTATTTTTTTTGTTCAGAAAAGGAATGCATTTTGAGCTAGCAGGTGTACCTCTCATAATTATCTTACTCCTTCTCTCATTTTCAGCTATTCTTGTTAGTTTCTGTCCACTCATTTTTGCTTCCATCTGAACTAAGATTGGCTGTTGCCCTTCCAGCCCCCTTCATCGATTCAGCAACATTTTCTATCTATCTATCTATCTGTCTATCTATATAATATCTATCTATCTATCTATCTATCTATCTATCTATCTATCTATCTATCTATCTATCTATCTATCTATCTATCCATCTACCTATCTACGACTTCCATGATCACTCATTCATTCTTTTTTCGTCTCCTTTTTTCTCTTTCTTTCTTTCTTTCTTTCTTTCTTTCTTTCTTTCTTTCTTTCGCTCTGTCTCTGTCTCTGCCTCTCTCTCTTTCACTTTCTCTCTCTCTGTCTCATTCTCTCTCGTTTCTCTCTCTCTCTCTCTCTCTCTCTCTCTCTCTCTCTCTCTCTCTCTCTCTCTCTCTCTCTCTCTCTTTCTCTCTCTCTCATTTTCTCTCCCCCGCTCTCTCCCTTTCTCTTGCTCTCTCTCAGTCTCAAACACACATATATACACACACCCACATCACATACAAACACATGCACACACATACACAAACACACACACACACACAAACATACACACACACACACTCACACAACACACATGCACAATCTCTTCTTCTATCACTCTATCAACCTCTCTTTTTCACTCTTAACACACCTCCCCCCTCCCTCCACGCAAACACGTTCATCCCAAAAATATTTATACACACACTTCCTTAAAGAAACAAACTAAAGAATCGACACTTTTATTCAGCATTTTGCTTATTGATAGAAGTAATGTTTGTTTAGTATAGGGTTTTACGGCGCCCGCAACTGCAGAAGGTCATATGAGCGCGCGGGATACACCTAATACTTTTTCGTCGGTAGGAAATTTTGAATTTTGCCCGGGTGGCGGCCGAAGCCTACTCTTATCAATTTTAGACCACCAAGGGATCTTTAACGTGCGCAACTTGCACACGGGCCCTCCAAGAATTTTCGCCCTTGTCCGAGAAGGCTAGGTGTAGATCTTTCCTACCAGAAGATCAGGGGTGTGGTAGAAAGACAGCTGTAAGAAGGAGTCAAGGAGTAACAGTACAAAGGCTGCAGAAAGAGTCAGGAGCCCAGAGGAGGGGGCAAGGGAGGTGAGGGGGTGGGGGCAGAAAGAGGAGACGACAACAGACGACAGAATGTTGCTAGAGAGCAGGAAAGGAGGGGAAAGGAGACAATTTTAGAGAAGAAAATTTTTCGGTCGCTACCCGGATTCGAACCCGGGACCTTTGAATGAGAGGCCAACACCTTAACCTCTAGGCCACGAGAGCCCCCCGATAGAAGTAAGAAAACTTATTAAATAGAAGCAAAAAGAAGAAAGCGACAGACTGGCAGACAAACACGTAGACAGACAAACATACAGACAGGCTGGGAGAGAAAGTGAAAGAGGAAGACAGAGAGACAGAGAGAGGGAGAGACAGAGAGAGACAGAGACAGAGAGAGAGACAGACAAACAGACAGAGAGAGAGACAGAGAGGCAGACAGAGAGAGAGAGACAGAGAGACAGAGAGAGAGAGAGAGAGAGAGAGAGAGAGAGAGAGAGAGAGAGAGAGAGAGAGAGAGAGAGAAGTGTTGCTAGAGAAGAGGGTATCATGGGTAAAAGAAGAAAATAGGTTAACCCCTGAATTAAATTTCAAGCAAATAACTTAGGCCAACTTGTTTTCGAGTGGTAAGGGAGTTCTGTTTTGAGTCTTCTACTGTCTTCATGCTCTTGGACTAACTCTGTCGATTTGTATGTGTATTAAGAGGCAGTCGATA